AAGGTTCCTAATGAGAAGGGTTCTCTGAAAGTAGGACATGGGTAAGTTCAATGTCGGAGGTCGCAAGTGACAAACAAAGTGACAAATCACAGAATGCTTCATAATCACATGGGCTCTCTGAAAATATTGCCTTCATCAATTCTAGGGGAGGTGACCCAAGCCCCAAAAAGACACGCCCTGCTGATTTTGGGGCATGGTCCCTTAAATATCAACTGACTTTCTTTTCCGATGAACAGGTTCATTGACACGTGCCATAGTTTTCCCTCCACTTTTGTGACACGCATGCGCTCCACATCATGCAGGGCACGTGCCAATCACAGGATAAAGTGTGTCTTCCCAGCAAGACTTGAGACCATTGACATGCAGACACAATTTCTACAGCAGAACAGGCTGTCTTCCCAGGAAGACACGAGTATTTGCCTGTCTTCCCGCCTGTCTTCCCAGCAAGACACGATTATTATAAGCTGTCGACATACCTACCGGTACAGACACTGCCAGCTACATTGGTAGGTCTTACAGGCAAGACACCAGTATGTTGCCCTGACAACAATTATGTTGCCAGCAGCAAAGCACACTGCAACAATTGGCTCTTTGTGTATTTCACTTGCACTGTACCAGTTTGCACCTCTTACTACTGGATCATTTCTACTATGTTAGTCATAAAATCTACTGGTTGACTTACGCATACTACGGTACCAGGTACTGGTACGGGAACTATCGGTAGGAACACACGAGATTTGTTAAGTAGCCTTTCCGTTGCAATTGTGTCGTAGGACAATTGACTCACTGCCACAAGTCAATAAAAATTTTGAACTGATGACAGGAGAGCAAATTCGATTGACACGTGCAGACAAAAGAGTACACGTGCCAGTGAAATGACCACGCCAGCTGACATGTTCAAGCAAAAGATTCGTTGAGTAGAGCATCAGTCGCTGTGACAACTGACCCACTGCCACAAGTCCCAATTATTTTCAAAACAATGGCACGTTTGAATTTCGAAAGTCCCTCCACAAAACCATGGCATTGACAAGAATGATATTCAATATTAGATGTGCATGGAAAGACCCAAGAGATTTTATGATTGCGAATGCAAGTGAATTTTGTAAGGTTGAAAAAGAGAATTTGATAGGCTGTAAATTTAAGTGTTACATGACACCTGGAATTTCAACGGCAATGCTGTTTGAATGATGCAGAACTATGAATATGTTTTCTACACGAAGAATTGTGGCGTATAATTCATCTTGCAACGCAAACATGCAAAATCACAAATTCAAAACCATTGTGCACACAGACCGTATGTCTATCAATAATACAAGAGAAGCTGATAAATAGAAAACATCTTGAGCATCATTGCCGTCAGAACTGGCATTATCATCCTCCGCTTTGGTGTAGAACAATTTGTTACCTCCCGTGGCCGTCATAGATTCCTCTTGACCGGACGTAGCAGCATAACATGGTGAACCCTCGCCACCCTGCACAGAAGAACATACATCCGGCCCATGTTGATGTTGACGCAAATGAAAAGACAAAGAGGACGCAAATGAAAAGACAAAATTTCCAAAGTTCACAACTTTCAAAATAAAACTGTTGGTCCTTATGTCCATTATTTGTCGTTACGACCATTTCAAATCTATTTTTGATCCGGAAAGTGAGATTTGTAAGCGACACCTTGGTTGTGTAGACGTGCTTAGAATCTGTACTGTCGCTCACAAAAATAATCCGCACATATTTTTATCATACCTGCCGTTTTTTCGGCTGGGAGGCAGTGCCATCAATTTCGGATTGACGGCAAGCCCGAAGAATGCTTCTTTCGAGGCATAGTCATAAAACATCGGAACGTCTTCCGATTTCAGCCAATCACATTTATTCTATCTAGTCGAGTGACGGCCTCAGCTGGAGATGCCCTAAGTCCTCAGTTCCAGAGTGCAGCTTTGATGACGTTTTCAACTAACGAACCAATGCGAAAACCGCGCATGCCAAACGAAACAGCACTGATTCTCCAAAACAAACAAACCAAACAATCAATTCAATCTCACAAACACCAAGAGCATTGAAGCTCCAAGCAATGGATAGACCAAGCATCAATCAAGAATAGTGCAATCTTCTCAAAACGTCGTGGAATGGAGGCGATTATCCAAAAAGTCCTATCTGAAAAAGAAGCTATTAGGTCTTTCAAGCAACACACTTCCCCTCAGCAACCGAATTTTCGAACGGACTTCTCCAATGCCCTTTTCCATGCATTCCATACTCATAAAGATGACCTTGGTAAGGAGCTGGTCATTGTAGATATTATTGTAAGTGTAGCTGAACACCTGAAACCAAAAGTCCTTGAAGTGCCACATATTTTTATTATGAAAATGTGCAAAATAGTTTTGAAGTTGCACAATGAGAGAAAAAAAAACACTGCGACTGTTTCATTGCCTGTTGTTGACATTGATAAGGCGAAAAGGGCGTTTCAAATTCCTTTTCGAGATAACAACTTGACAGACAGCTTCTGGAACCACCTTAGCTCGCAGGAAGACTTGTATGAGAAGATCGAAGCGAAATATTTTCCATTTTTTGCCATTCTTCAGAGCTCGGGCTATGGCAAATCGAGGCTACTTATGGAACTGCGACAACAAGGTCATGGCAAGGCACGTCGCGTGGTTTATATATCATTTGCTTCAAAACAAGCGTACCCCACGAATAACGTGACAATGCAAGCTGACTTGGCACAAAAGGAAGCGAAAATCGTGGAGAGCGCTTTTGTCAATTTGTTTCGCTCAGCAGTTGAATCAGTTGAAGAAGCGACATCTTTTGAACTCAAGGATTCTGTGGTCACACAATCCCCAACGAAACGCACTAGAACACAAGCCGAGTCTAATGGCAGCGTCTTGATTGTGATCGACGAAGCCTCGGAGTTACTACAAAGGCTAACAAACGATGATATTTCGTTTTTCCGGTGCATGCGAAAGGCGATGGTCGAATACAAGTCGGTGAACGACAAGTGCTTTTTCGTCATTCTTGGCACTTTTTCATCGCTTACTCAAACCATTCCTCACAGGCGGCTTGATGCATCCTACAAACCGACAGCAGACGACGATGCAAGAGAACCGATGAGCACCTATCTCTTGCACCATACCCTAGGTTTGCCTTGGAACAGCTGCGAAAAACTCCTGGGGATGAGCTGCGAAGAGTGCCACCAGCCCGTCAACCTTTTCTCCATGGGACGACCCCTGTGGAAGGCATATTTGTCGAATGAGGGGGGGAGCACCTCCTTTCTTCTTGACCTTGCGACTAAAAAGCTGCTGCTAGACTCAAAAATCACGGAGTCAAAAGACCTGAATGCGTCGCAAATTCTGGCATTGTTTGCATGTCGAGTGTGCTTGACGATATCTCCTATTTCCATGGTGGCATCAACGCTGGTGTCAAGTCACATGGGTACTGCCGTCAAGCTTTCAGAAAGCCGGGAGGATCTTGTGGTATCGTATCCTTCGGAACCAATTCTTTCGATCGCAGCAAAGCCGTATTATCTGGAAGGGTATGATGTCAAAACTGACACTACGAGCGGCATTGGTTTTCTCCACAAAGGGCTGCCTACGTTGAAGCAGTATTTTCTGTCCGGAGCCGTCCCGAAGGGGCACAGAGGTGAATTCATTGTTCGTTTGTTGAATATTTTGGCCATGGACCGAGCCATGGTCAGAACCAAGACCGAGAGCAAGGTCTCTGCCTCAGAAGGGTCTGAAGATCAGCACCGTCCCGCTGTCGTGGAAGTGAAGCTCCGTACTTTTCTGTCCGAGTTCGTTCGCGGCACCGATCAGAAGCAAAGTCAGGATTTATTTCAAGCATCCGCATTCGATGGCGTGGTATGCTTTACGCACTTTGTGTATTTGTCGCGTTCAAAAGGCTCCGACAAACTAATCACACCAGATCTATTGCGCTGTGCATATCGACGAACCGCTGCAATTGTCGTAGATGATGGCCGCAAGGGTATTGACTGGTTGATCCCCGTTCGTTTAGGATCCGACAAGTTTACGGCCCTTGCGGGACAAGATAAGAATCGTATTGGAGATTCGTTGCATACCCTCCAGCCATTGTCCAACGACGCAACACATCACAAAATGACACCACTGTACTTTCTTACAGAAGCGGAACAGGAAGAGTTCAGAAGAGCAGAGGTGTCATTTGATTGGCCTGCGGTTGTATTTGCCATTGGTGGAAACGAGATGGAAAGTGGTTTAGCCCAAAGCGGAGATATGGCATTACGTTCTGGCATTTCTAATGAAGTGAGAGCGCCCTGTGTTATCTTCACCGGTCTTGGATACACCAAGCTCATGGATGATGATTGCAATACGCTGCTGACTGAGCTTCGTGACTTTGTGATTGACGTGCCCGAGCACTACAGACAAAACTCACCATTGACATTCTTTGGTGACCGCTATTGTAGCACTGTATCTGAAGCGATGTCTGTTGATGAAGCTGAGGAGAGCTAGTATTTTTTGAAGCGGTAGAGGAATGAATCCCACCATTGCTTTCACCGGAACGTTGGACTTAGATTGTATGTTTGGAAAGAAGAGAGATTGATGGAATTCATTGGCTGGATTCAGAGGATTGATTAGAGTGAGGAAGTGACAACGACGGCCTTGTTGAGACTGCACTGACGGAAACAACTGAAGTTGTAACTGTGGTTACAAAAGAAGAGGACCTTGGCTAGTGACACTGGCTTCTTCCAAGGCAAACGATCCTGTCACCATGTTGGACAATCACAAGAAGCAGAAGCATGCTTGAAAGGTGGTGTGCTGCTCGAAACAATTGCACGCTGATGTCATCATTCGTACCGAATGTTCTTCCATTTCTATAGAAGCAACTAGGCTTGGTTTTTGTCTTTCTTGAATAGTGTTTAGTAAGTAGTATATAATTTATATACTACTGCAATTGGCAACTTCTACCATCCGCCCAACCATACTATTTAGCTTGAAAGATACCACTTCATGGCTGCTTGGGCAATCTTCATTACGCTCGAACCATGTTTGACCAAAGCGAATCAACTTGCCCAAGTAGGTGGGCTACCATCTTTTTGACAATTTCAGCAAGCTTTCCAGATTCAAGAGCTTGTTCTTCTCCTTTTCCAAAACTTTGGCAGGAACCTTGTCGGCAGTGGCAAAAGGCTACCATTGTCTGGAGATGCAGAGGGCATGCCTGCCACAAACATCTGTTGGTAAACATTCTTGAGATGAGACTAATCTTTTGGCCAAATAGGCACTACCAGGAGCTACAAGAACAGGCTTCAAATCATACCTTGCTTCAAAGGAGTATTGGAACCAGTTTGGCCATGGCATCAAATATCATAGGTATGCCAATTGTTCAGGTGGATAATCCAATCCAAGAGCTGCTGGATATCCCATGCAAGCTCTATTGACCCAGGAACCGACAGCATACTTAGTGGTAGCAATATGACCACCACATTTGTGGAACAATACCCAATCAATTAACAGTGAATTCAAAATGACAACCCTTTGTTGGAGGAAAGGATCAACAGCTTCGATTCATCTGATGTGATAGCAAGAGCATCCAAATGATGTATCCGTAGCGTTGCTGTTGAGTCCACTGACCCAAGCTGTAAAACAGGCTTGCTTCTTTTGAATCAAAGTCACCAAGCCACTATGGGCTCCATCTCAAGAATTCAATGAAGTGGCACATTTGTCCAATCAAGCAGACATGGGCCACAAAAAGTAGTCTGCAGGACAACTGCCTTCCAAAAACAGAGTGAGCAAGGTAAAATAAGCATGCCAACCACATTGGGGTTCCATTTGACATGGCGGAAGGCGCCAGATGCGAAGGTTGTAGATGCAGATCAAAAAGTTGGGAAATGACCTTGGGAAGCCGATTTTGGGTTCAGTCGCATTGGAAGTGAAATTGTTAACTGCCATGGCAGTCAGGGAAGGATGGTGGGTGGCATCAACAATGATACGGGCTTTGCGATATTTGTTACATGCATATACCAACCCAAGTGGAGTAGTGTGAGCGTCTTGGATGAATGGAAGGAGGGCTGGGTTGGCTGCCAGAAGGTAGCTGCGAAGGACTTATTTTTTGACTGTGCTTTGTGTTTTGCTAACGTTGTTGTACACCGACTTGTGATTATCATAGGCAATGAAGGTGCAGAGGTTCTTGTCGGTCAATTCCACATTGACCTAATTGGGTGCGCCGTTGAGGAAGATGCGTTTGAGCTGGGTGGTGAGGAGGGGGTCCATGTTGGCTTCACGGAGGACGGGTTTGAGGGTTGACCAGTTGCAATGGGCACTGGTGTGGATGTTGCCAACAAATCGGACGTTGGTTGGGATGCTGAGGTCATAGTGGAGTAAGGTTATGAAAGGGAAGATATGAGGGGCAGGTGCCCAAGAGCTCCAAGAGTAGCAAGGAATCCCTACAATGGGTCATTCTACAATGGTGTCTACATCAAGAACGCTGATGAGTCTTAGGAAAGATATGGAACGTTCATTTGCTACCTTGAAGGCGAGGTTCGCTTGTCTAAAAAATCTTTCAAGGTTCAATGACAAGGAGATGCACAACATAATCCCCCACTTTGATAAGTATGATGGCATTGTACATGATGCAAACAAATTGCAGGAGGAGGACAAAACTGAGAATTTTGTTACTGGCCGTGCACAGCGCATTGATGCTTTGGTTGCTCACTTCAGCTGCAGCAGGGACACCCTTAGAAAAGACTTTGATGAACATATATAACTAACAAAGAACTGAAACATTGACCTTGTTTATATACCATATTACTAGCTAATTGCTGGTCCGAGTAGGAATTTTGTCATCATCATCCAAAGTGGAAGAGACTGCAGTCTCAATGGGAATGGGAGATGATGCGCTACCACTAATACCAGCTCACGGACTACCAGTAATTGAAAGGGAACCAGTAGTTGTTACCCTGTCGAATTTGTTAGGTTTGTCAGGCTCCTCCTCTTCTACCATTCCCGCCTCCAAAAGCATCTTGTGGTCCATCCCATCAAGCTTCTTTTCCAAAAGACGTTCTTGATTAGCTGACTTGCAGCGCTTGAGTCGCTTCAGCAAACCAGCATGAATAGTCTTCAATGCCGTCATCTTCATCCTTTTTGTATCACACACTGATATAGTATCACTATCTTGTTTGCTTTGGCTTATGCCTTGTCAAGAGTGCGTTGCCCGTGTCTGTTCACGGATAGATGACGTGCAGGAGTCCCAGTTGCGGGGTCAGTAGGGTCCTCAGGAAATTCCACAGAAGTTGCATCACAAAAACTTGGGGTGAGGAATGACACCAGTTGGTCTTTGGTTTCAATACATCAGGCCATCATGTTAGTTGTTGTGTCATTTTCATGGCTTTTTTGGGCGCTCATTTCATATTCGTATTCTAATCAAATCCTCAGTGAGCGCAAAAGCATTCAGTCTAAAGGCGCCAGAGCAGTCAGTCTAAAGGCCCCAAAGTATGCTAGTCCTGCCTTGAGCGGCCCAACAGCAACGGTCCTCCTATATAAAGAGACAGCAACGTAGATGTTGTTCCGTTGTGCGATGGATGTTTTTGTCAGGATCGACTTAGTCGTCTAGTTTCGTCACTCCTAGCAAGACTGTTGATTTTTCTGGTGAAAATCCTGAGGAAACTGACAATACAGTTGATGAAAATGTTGCCACGGCACTTCCTCCTGTGGTACATGACAAATTCACCAAACCGGAGGCGTTGCTCATCACAAAGATTGTCTTTAACAAAGATGTTTGACTTGCTTCAGACTTTCTTTGACCACATTGGTGTTGAGAAACCGTCTGATCTTGAAGGACAGGATGTAGATGACTTACTCAGTCATGGAGAGGATGCCCTCCTAGATGGCGGCCTAATTCGCGGTGTCATCACTGGGCGCCTCAAGAAGTTTCTCCTCTACGCATCTGCCCCATCCGTGGTCATCAATCCCAGTCTTACCTACCAAAAGATTGTGTAATTTTCGCTTGCCCAAGCAAAACAAAATATTTCTACTACTCCTATTGATTTGACAAAAGCAATTGGCGAACTTCAAGGCATAAAGTTTTGCTGTCCAGAGGTCAAACCATTCAGTGGCGAATCTACTGTATATTGGCCTTGGACATCTAAGCTTGCTTTGGAATTTGGACAATCCGGTATAGAACTTGCTCTAACGGATGCAAAGTTCCATGAACAATCTACTTGGCACAAGGATGCATCAAGTCAGGGTTTCTACGCAATCGCAAAAGCTCTGAATGATGGTACCGCTAGCCATATTGCCAATGAGGTGAAAGAAAAGAGGGGACAAACTGTGGCCTACAATCTTTACCAACGATTACTAGAGACCTACAACTCTCCGGAGGATCAGGCCCATTTTGTAATGTATGCAATTGACGAGTTGACTTCCATCAAGTTGACTCACGAAGTTACAGTTCCTGATTTTATTTCCAATTGGAAGTCTATTACTACAAGATTGCGGAAAAGTAATCAATCACTGGCAACAAGCCGTGAGCTTCTCCGTGTTTTCCTCCTCAAGGCAATTGTCTCTGATACATACAGTGACAACGTTACATTGTGAAGTACCCGTTAGCTTCCATTGACAAGTATCTTGAACCATTACGCTCCCACAGTAAAACACAAGCTCTCAGTGACGAGGACTCCCCTGTCCTAAACGACGTTGCTGTGGTGGCTCACCGTGGAGCAACTGACAAGAGCTACAAGAAAAGGACATTTGATAAAGATTATTTGAAAGAGTATCCAAAATGGCACATTCCTCAGTTTCCCATCGGTTGGGACAATAGTTTTCCGAATGGTCTCTTCAAGAGGATGTTGACCTGGCGTGAAACATGCCACGGTACCAGCTTGTAACCCGAAAAAATCGATTGAGAGTTTGGTATGAGACCAAAGCACATTGGTGTCAAACGCAAAGATTGTAGAGAAGCTACTAAAGATGGTGACAACGGTGACGACGGTCCTTCTGATGCACAGCCAAACAAAAGTGGTAAACAATGGCTCATCCAGTCCTACTACAAGAAACTGCAGACGGATCAATGTGGGAAAACGTCCCAAGCCCACGTTACCATTACAGAGTGGTGACAGGGATGCGGACATGCCCAACAACAACAAAAACGGGCGCTCCGCCGTCTAACACCCATGCCCCATCCCACCGCATCTATCCTGATTACCGACAGTGGCGCCGACCAATTCTTGGCAGGCTACGTTTGGAGAAGGATTGGTATCACTGGAAGACACATTGCATTCACAGGGCCTATTGCAGGTCGAGATATTGGTACTGTCTTACCAGTGTCATCAGTTGCCAGCAAGATAATTGATGCACAAGGCAACACCTATTGTGGTAAAGCCCATGAAATCCTCCACGACACTAACCCACACCAACATGAATCTTTACTCCCTCCAGCTCTACTCCCTCCAGCTCAGGCCCGCGCAGCTGGTAATGCTGTGGATGAGTGCCCATCTGATGCACTAACACCAAGAGGTGACTATGGAACTCAATGTTGTGTGATTAGTGGCCATACACTTCTATTATTCTTTCATGGATTCAAGTGTTACTACCGTGTGGAGGCCATCACTGATGAAGAAATGAGAACTTCGCCGGAAATTGTATTCACCAGTGATGAGGAGTATGAGCCTTCTGCCTGCAGTAAACCTTGACACTTCCCAGCAGAGGTGATTGATTGGAAGCGAACAATGGCTTTTCCTCTGGATGATGTCCTGAAGCACACTCTTGCCGCAACCATTCAACTGGTTCCTACTGTTGAGGCAAAAAGTCGTGAAATTACAAGAGACCATTTGAAGTCCAGACTATCATGTCTACGTTATTGGCGTCGTCAGGACGTCAATTTTCTCGATACCTTCAAGGCCAACATCAAATTGGTTCGTGGATTTTGTACTTCAATTTATTTTCAAGTCAGAGGTCCGGATACGACCACCCCATTCTGATGCAGCAGAAGAGTGAATCCCCGGAAACAATAGAGGCGCATTTTGACCACTGTGGAACCCCCCACACTTTGAAGTCAGATAATGCAAAAGAATTTTGTTCTATGCAGTTCCATCGCAAACTCCAAAAGTACCAAGTGTCCTCCAAGTACACTGAACCACACCAACCAAATCAGAACCTTGCTGAGCCAAGAGGTGGAAGGCTGAAACATGTGGTCCAACACATTCTGTTGACTACATCGGAAAAGAAAGTCAGTTGATATTTAAGGGACCATGCCCCAAAATCAGCAGGGCGTCTCTTTTTGGGGCTTGGGTCGCCTCCCCTAGAATTGATGAATGCAATATTTTCAGAGAGCCCATGTGATTATGAAGCACTCTATGATTTGTCACTTTGTTTGTCACTTGCGACCTCTGACATTCAACTTAACCATGTCCTACTTTCAGAGTACCCTTCTTATTAGGAACCTTCCGCTTTGTTTGTCGTTGTGTTTGTCACTTGTGACCTTTAAAACCCACATGCCATATTTCATCACTTCCTGATGATAAGCCATTGGTGTATGCTTTCTATTGCAACCTACTGCCACTAAATTCAACTTCAGTGGCCGCTATGATAGCAAACACCCACTTAACAATACACAAACCACTTCTTTGGATCCTGATGGATAAAGCTCTACATGAGTTGCCTGTAGATTCTATTTAGATCTAGATCTAGATCCAGAAATTAGGTGGCAGCTCTGAAAAGATTCAAGTTAGATGCAAATTCTGAAATAGCCCACCTATTGTTCTAACTTCATTCAATTTTTTTAGTCTATATTATATTTGTCACCAATATTGGTGTCTAAGAATGCTGGTTTGGCTGGAACGGGAGAATTCTTGGTGGAAATGCTCCAAGAACCAAATTCACTTGAGGTGGACTCGAAGAGATTTTTGGCTACATCAGGAATGTTTGCCAAATTGATCATCAAACTTATGTGAGTGCGGCGGAAACATTTCTACCTCAAGATACCCTATACCAATGTATCAACCTTGCCAAGTACATCAATGAGCAAGAAATATTAGTTTAAATAAAGCAATTCAAAGCAATTTGGTCAACAATTCGGCCAGATCACTCCAGATCATGCTTTGGGGCAACAAACTTACCTGTGATTCAAATTTCCCTTTGCTTAGGCGCCTTGATCTAGGATAGACCAAATCTATTGATAGGTCCGGTCACCCTTTGTCCATTAGAGGCAGTAAAAGGGAGTGGCAGGTTGTTGTTTGGGTTTCTGTCTCCATGGTGCCAGGAGGACCAGCCGAAACGGAGCAAAGTCATAATATTACCAAACCAACTCATCATATTGGTCAAAATTTATGTGCCAATGGTCGAACTCTTCTTCCGCTAACGACGCAGTTGCTCAAAATATATGCAGAGATGAGATTGGTGTATTGTCGTTTTTTTTTGTGGCTTTCTGGGTCCACCAAGGCCAGTTTCCCAAGAGCAACAGATTCTGATGATAGGGCTTGAGTTTGAATTTGGCACCGGATAACGCCATTAGGCACCATCTTCCTGCATCTAGGGACGTCTTCACATACAAAGTTGATGATGTGTGTGCGCCCTAGACGGTGTCTATGGCTTTCTTACCGACAAAGTCGCTCATCATTAGACCAACACACAGTTTTTGTTACCATCGTCATCAGTAGAAATTTTTCGTTGTGCCCCATGTATTGTCGTTTGGCTTCCATATTGCCAGTTGGTGCAATGGGAACAGTTGGTTGTTGCGCCAGTCCATTGTTGCGCAAACTGTAGTTGATTGTCATGTTTGTGTTGTTTCTGTTTTTATTTCGGCTGTGTGGATTGAGATTCGGGATCTGCCATACATTTGGCATCAAAAAGTTTCTCCGGATTGGGATTTTAGGATCTGCCATATATTTGCACCTGAAGCCTAGACGCTCCGTCCAAATGTACCACGATCCTGCACGTAGAATTCTACACGGTCAGAAGTGATCAAAACGTTTCTCCGATGAGCCCAGGACAAAACCAAAAACAACATTGAGAAAAGAAACTGCAAGCAGATGACATCACTGGTGAAGAATCTGACAGCGATGCAACTGAATAGAGTACAATTGGCAAAATGAGGTAAGCTCTTCAAAGAGTAAATTCTCACAGTACTATGATGCCGTTTGATGATTGCATGACATCAACAAGAACAGGAGATTTTGCATTTTCATATCCTTTTTCCTGCAGGTTGCGCCTTTGCCAATTTTTCTTTGCTGGTTATGGTAATCGGGATATTACATATGGCAGACATTGTGCACATGTCTCTCAATCAGGATCCCATTAAGAGTTACAAGTTTGTTAAAAACAGCAGCATTTTTTGTTTATTTGCCAACAAATGAAGGGGAGTCTCGTAGACAGGAAAAGGTATATGGCAATGATTCAAGGGCGAGCAGTGAGGAGGACCTTGAATACAAAGGGGGTGAGTATTCATGTTTTGTGCTACTGTTGTGTGACAAAAGCCTTGATCTCACCTGCTTCTTTTGTCACTAAATGTTATGGTGATGCAAGATGTCAATTTGGGTTGAGTATGCTTTGTTTATTTGCCAACAAATGAAGGGGAGTGTCAGAGACAGGAAAAGGTGTATGACAATAGTTCAAGTGTGAGCAGTGATGAGGACCGTGAGCACAAAGAGGGTACGTATTCATGTTTTGGCGCTACTGTTGTGCGACAAAAGCCTTGATCTCACCTGCTTCTTTTGTCACTAAATACTGTGGTGATGCAAGCTGTCAATGTGGGTTGAGCAATGCTTTCAATGTCACAGATGAAGCATTTGCGCTTTTGATGGTGAAGAACTATGTAGACAGATGGAAGGCACTGGCCAAAGAATGACCGAGCAGTGGCAACACGAACTGAACCACAAACGCTCTGAATAAAAGCCCAAGAAGGCAAGGCAACAAATTGTAAAAGTATATGAGGATTCCTGAAAAGTAGATAGAACAAGTATTGTTTAGTTGATATTAATATATAGTCATTGTGATATTTCAATTGTTGTAGTCATCACATTAACACTTTGGGAATGTGACAATAGATGATGCTGGCAATGCAAAAATGACAGGGTGAAGGTGGTATTGAGACTTTCAGTGCATGGTTGTTGGTGGCTAGACCCTGTCCCAAAATGACAAGTAGTAGGTGATTCTTTCACACAGCAAAGGTGACATTAGCACAGAGGCAAAAGTGAATATGAAAAGGTTCCAGTCGAATGGCTGCGATAAAATCACATGGCCACATGACATAAGCAGACCGAGCCATGTCCTAATGTGACATGAGCAAGCCGACCAATAGGACCAGACTTTCTATTCCGATGTACTGGTGCTCCTCCCGAGTATTGGTGTTACTGTGTCAAATACATTGCTTTTGTGAAAGCAAGAACCTCCAAGAGATTGCTACGCTTTGGAACCTCTTGGGAATTTCAATTTGGAGGTGTTCCGGATATAAGCAAATGCAGATTCTCTTTCTGGCTACCTGTATGGTTTTACACTCCGAGAGGAGCGTGTCCAAGACAGAGGATGATGAAAGCGAGGTTCCTGGGATTCAGTCCTGACTCTGGTGATGATTTTACATATGTGATTGTCACTGATCCTGATTCTGACAAAGAACTACGTCGGATCTTTACCCGCTCCGTCATCCGCCTGCGGCTTGTTTACGAGGCCGCACCTGTTTTGGTCCGAAAGGGGAAGACAAAGTTCGAAATTTACAAGAAGGATGAACGCACCATCTTGGAGGGAATAGCTGATCCTGATTTTTGACTCAACTTTCTGATAGGGCGCCAAATCCACTATTGACCATTCAAGAGGAGCCCGAACCCTTGGGCACCATACCGGAATATGAAAGAGCTATCAAAGAAGTATATGGACCACCTCCTTCGAAACAACTTCGTACCGACCCTACTTCGGATGATGAAGACCTCTTTGATTTGGTTAATGGGCATGAATTTTGTAAGGGAGTCCTGTTTCTCAGCATTCTCTGGAAGACTGATGAAACCTCTTGGGTAACTTATCGCGCTTGTCGTGAAGATTTCCCCTATGAGACTGCCAAGTACATCTGTGCCAACAAGATTGGGTCCTGCTCCGGTAACCACAAGAATGGACCACACCAACGTTGGGCATGAACGTTCTTGAAAAAGACTCGACGTGTAAAATACTACAGTTATTCCAAGCCTATGAAGGAAGGCCAAGTATTTTGCTGTCCTGAAGAAGATGACAGCTACCAGATTCAATACACCAAGCGTTTCAAGAAGTCCACCCCCAACCAGAATCGATGTGCCAAGAAGCCTGGACGTCTCCCACAACCTCTTCCTGTCAAGTATGGTATTCCAATTCCGCGGACCGTTAGACAAGCGCTTGCCATTGATGACAAAAACGGAAACCACCTTTGAAGAGAGGCAATGGAGAAAGAGATTGCCTCTCTCAATTGCAATGAATTGCTTTACCTATCACCCGTCTGATTGCAAGCCTGGCCCAAACTCTCAGTTTGCATTATTTTGGGAAGTACGTGGTCTGTCCTCTGTACGTGTAGTTTTGTAGTCTGAAGGATCTGGTAGTCACAAGTTTTCCTTGTCTATATTTCGTCCAGTAATTGATCTGTTTTGGCTGACTACTAGCAGCGCATTTTAACGGTTTATCAGACCCAAGAAGCTCTTTGTTGTGAGCTAAAGCTTGAGAAGGCTTTTTGAAATAATATCTGGTCTCCAAAGTTTGTGGTTGACCGGCAAAGGTTGGATCGCCCATTGCCAAAGGATCCGTGGTTTTAATGTTGCTACATTTCAGTCTTGAGCGTTGACTGAAGACGGCCACTTATTACCGTTTAAACCGTTTGGTTGCAAGTAATTTGCCACACGGGTAGACGTACCCAGGATATCTTGCTCGATACTCCCTATATAATTATTTGTACTGCGATTCTTTTAATTAAGATCTCACACTGACGTAGTCGTGCGAAACTGCATTATACGACTCCAATCAGAAACTGAAAACAACTGGCGAAACGAAAATATTGAAATTTGTGCCGTGTTATTTTTACAACAACATGAAAGACATTGAACGATGGCCGCTGCAAGAATCGCATGGAGAAACTACATACGAGATGTTCTCGATTTCTCTCAGGATGAGGCACAAGAGATTGTTATTGAACAGGGCTTCAGTTCCCCTGCTTTCTTTGCCCGCTCGACGCGCGAAAATATTG